CCAGAGGCTCCAGAAGATCAAGAAGCTCCAAAGGCCCCAAAAGATCCAGAAGTTCCAGAGGCTCCAGAAGATCAAGAAGCTCCAGAGGCTCCAGAAGATCCGGAAGTTCCAGAGGCTCCAGAAGATCAAGAAGCTCCAGAGGCTCCAGAAGATCCGGAAGTTCCAGAGGCTCCAGAAGATCAAGAAGCTCCAAAGGCTCCAGAAGATCCAGAAGTTCCGGGGGCTTGAGAAGATCCAGAATCTCCAGACACCACAGATGACAAAGAGGTTCTTTAGCTCAACAACAAAGGTCAAACAGGACGCTGAAGATGACAATCAAGTTGTTGGAAGCTAAGACGAGGACAAAGTGGAGCAGATCGGCCAGCATCAGGTAACAGAGACGTTAAACCGGCGCTCTGAGACCTCGACTGCACCTCCTGAAGAAACCACTGAAGAAGAGGCACCTGTTGAAAGCAACAGAGAAGCTGCTGGAGTCCCAAGAGCTGGAGAGGACGGACAAGAAGAAGAAGACGTCTAAGTGAAGCAGGTGGCTTCTGAAGATATTTACATTCAGCTGTGCAGGAAGAAAACATTAGGAAGACTGATCTTTTATATGAGGATTTACCTTCAACCATTTCAACTCCAAGCATATATATGCAATACTATATTTAAATGCAAATCATAAAATCAGTTTAAAAACATTCTGAGACATTTTATGTGACCATCGTAACTTCTCATGGTGCACAATTAGTCAGATGAAGGTTTTGCATTAAATAGACTCATAAAAAGCACCATCTTGTTCTGGCTTCTTGTCACAAACATTTTCCCTGCAAATGTCTCGTGTTCTTTTATTTCAGTTTGTCCAAATGCTTCATAAAGAGGCTGCAGGGTTCTATTTCAAATGGAGGTCTTGTTGCAAGATGGATTTCCGCTCTCATGTCTGTGTCATAAATATGAATCTGCCGACCAGCTCAGCTCAGCTGAGCAGCTGCAGCTTAATATTTAGACCTGAGAGTGAATCTGTCTTCTAATCCGACCCTCAGCAGGAGGAGATGTCGCTTTAAACATTTACTCTGTGCGCTAATGAAGCATTCATGTGTGCCTGAGCTGATGTGTAACACAGACTCACAACCACAGGGGCTCCGCACTGCAAAAACACATCTGTAGAAACAACAACAGGACCCCAGAGAAAATATGTTTACAACAGAAGAGCGTTCAAAACTGGAAGAAATGGTAATAAATAAATAAATAAATAAAATCATTAAAATAAATGAATAATAACTGTTTTGCTTATTTAAATAAATCCAAACTGTGTAATTATATGGTCACGCATTTTTAAAAGAACAAGTTACTATTTGGAATTAGATTTTATTGTAATTTAATAAAACGGGAAAATCAGTAAAATAGCAGTTACTAAATTC